TGTAGCTAAATAAAATCGACAGCTCGATCTTCCTCATAGAAACTCGTAGTCCTCACATACTCAACTACATTGGCAATCTAGCCAAAATCACCACCATTCTGGGCTTAATCCAACTCATCGTTCATGTCGAAGCATTGCAACCCACCTTCACTTCTGAAACCATCGACTATTTACGAATAAATGAGCTAGTAAGATAGCCAAACCTGATGCGAGCCAACTGTCCCAGATAATAATGAGGATCTAGCTGAAGACTGCAACGACATATTATTCAGTGGAAATCCCCGGTGCACAACCAAAAAATCGCTCTGTAACCAGCGCCTCACGGATTTGCCAACACCGACCCACACGAGCTATGGTTTTGGGACACGTAAAACCACTTTGATTCCGCTTCTCAAACAGGACAGGTCTCCCAGCCATACAAAAGAACAGCCCGTACTGCAGCCTGGTACACACGTTTCTTGATGCGGATGTGCCGCCTTGACGCCATAGGTGTTTCAAAATAGCAAACGCAACCCGAACATTGCAGGTTTGTGCACTGACCCCGTCTGTCACAATACAATCAAGACCAATGCAACTTCGGATGTTAATAAAACGCTGAACCACACTACTGGTCCAACCGGATAAGAAAAATAACTGTGATCATATATGAGCGTTGTTCTGCCTTTGGGGATTTCCACAGCCGACCAAAAATACCCCCTCCTCACATAATCGTACATCAAAGCCAAATCATCTCAAAAATGACGTCCGTTACGGGGCTGTCCAGGAACCGAGGTGTATCAGTGCAACGATGACATGGCACTGCTGTACCCAGTCTGATAGCACACCACCAACTATGCCGTTCTGTCTCTTGACTTTTACCATATCACCCACTTGCTCCATTACCTGCGACTCCAAACGAACTCACGCTTCATTCTGACCAACCTTATGATCATGCCTGACGGGACACCACCCACCTGTTGGAAATAGACATCTTTATGATGACGTGACACTTTGTGGGTACAAAGTGCCCTCAAATGGACAGAATGACTTTGGTCATTTCATCCAAAAACACACGCCCTTTCCTCATCTTCAAAGATGAGAGCGATTTCTGCATACTCCAGATGGACAAGATTTTTCCGAAAAGATACGTGGAACCCGTGTCCAAAAGACACTTCAGCTTTCGTCTCATTATCTCGTCTGTTACGAAATAAAGTGGGAATGGAGGTCAGGCGCTCTCGACGGACACAACTTTGTGTACGGAAGCTTTCGGAGTGCCCAATATATTTCCGTATAATGTCCACCCCTTCTGCACCTCCTGTCCACGAGACTCAAAGGGCCGTACGTTTAACAGCTCCCACTTCAACTGCACAATATCTCCCCAAAATATACTCCTTCCGCGTGATAAACCTCACAATGCACCTTTTGCAGTGAAAGAAGGGAAAACTGACTCCGATCTCAGCCTGCCCTGGTTGCAACATACATCCCGTATGTGACCATGAAAAGGGTATGCATTCGTACTCAAGACCGTTCGGAACGGCGAAAAATTTGGGAAAATTTTCAAACTTGATAGCCAAGTTGCGAAAGCGCTCTACATGTCGTGACATCCGGACTTAACTTAATGCCCCCAATTGCATCGCATATTTTGCGCAGCGTCATGTCACAGTGGGCCAAGAAGCGCTCTGTTCCCAAGAATCCTTGCAGCTTCACAGCGGTTTGAAAATTTCAACGTCAATCTAAATGTCCTGTGGCCTAGTGATCCTATTGGTCCGCTGGCGTGATGACCTAGGGTCACGGGGACAGCGTGGCTGCAGTTGCGCGCGCTGGTCGGTAGGATGCAGCGGTCATTGCTGAACTTCTTTTCTCGTGCTTCCAAAACATCTCTACAGACTCTTGATCAAGTGCCAAATGAAGTCAACGTTACCGAAAGTGCCATTCAGCCGATGGGGTGCGGACAAGTGGACGTAAGCTTTCTCATACTTTCTACAGCAACCGTAAGTTCGAGGAGGATCTACCAATGAAGTTCTCACGTTCTGGACGTAAAAGATCTATAATAGAGTCCAGCGACGAAGAGGACTCATCGTGCGTTGTAAACACAGCATCTAAGGAAAATTTTAAACCCTCGTTCAACCGGAATAAAGAATCACGTGTATGTCCTATTTCGCATTTTCATTAAGGCAGTTATCGGGATTTTCTTGCAGCTCCCCGAAACTGCCACGGACATCAATTACGAGTGACTCAGATACGCTTTCCAGGAGCCTGAATGAGACAATTGGGGATAATACTGTTGAGGCCTCGGATGTTAATGGTTCGTTCATTGACGAGGAGTCCGTGCCCTGGGAGCATTTGAAGCTACCGTTTCTAAAGAAAGAAAATCTTATGGACTCTGCTAGACGGAAACCCAATCATCCAGATTATGATCCACGAACCTTGTTCGTGCCTGGAGATTTTCTGGTAAATTGCCCCATCTTATTTTGTCGCTTTCCTAGGCGAAACAGTCTCCCGGTATGCGGCAGTGGTGGGAACTGAAATCAAAGTATGCTGACGCGATTTTGTTTTTCAAAGTTGGGAAATTTTATGAAATGTACCATATGGACGCTGCGGTGGGGGTCGAACACTTGGGATTAGTCTACATGAAGGGTTCATTCGCTCATTGCGGATTTCCCGAAATCGCCTTCTCGAGGATGTCCGAACAATTGGTTAAAAAGGTGGTCTCACTTTTTGCTGGCTAATAAATACACAGGGCTACAAGGTTGCTAGGGTTGAGCAGACGGAGTCCGTAGACGCCATGACTGAGCGTACTCGGGGAAGGCCGGGATCGGAGAAGGTTGTGAAGCGAGAAGTTTGCCAGCTTTCAACTCCAGGAACGTGTACCACAAGTATGCGAACTGAGTTGTCGTACTCCTCCAATCCGGCGTTATCGGATTCCGAAGACGGTGCCGTATCAACAGAGGCACTTGACACTGCCCCGGAAAGCTTTCTTTTGGCCATAGGGGAGGAGACATCCAACGAAAGCAGCGAGCACGTATTTGGGGTGGCCTTGTTGAATGCAACTAATGGTACTATTCTGGTAGGTTAACTAATATTTTTTACATTACCTCCAGATGGGGCAATTCTGTGACGACCGGCACTGTGGGAGGCTTCGAACATTAATCTCACACTACTTCCCCAGTCAGGTACGTATGGTCAGCCTGCTTACACTATTTTCTGTTAATATATCCATACTCACTGGCTTTAAAAGACGTCCATCATTGCTTACATTGACCTATGAGGACCAGGAGTTCATCTGGACTTCTGCATGGCTTACTTGAGCTTTGGTATAGCGTCACGATCAAGACAGCCATTTGGTCAAGGTATGAACTTACGGATCAGAAGGTCCGCGTTTCGACCTCAAACCCTGTATCTCGACTGCCTCTGTCTAGGCTTAGGCTACCTGCCAGTATTTCAGCCTTCGAGCTTCTTTTGGGCTGCATGGCAGCTATGCACCGCAAGTGTACCAGCTCAAATTATCATTTACACTTATCATTTACACTTTTCAGACATCACATAGATAAAGTCAACAGGTATATGAATTTGGGGCGTTCCATTACATATGGGAAGGTGCTGCGAAGCTCCCAGAGTGGACTGAGAGGTTGCCATCAGGGTACAGACATGAAAAACCTCCGGCGAAATGGAGGTCTCACATAAACGGCGTTTCTACAATGCCATCTTGCTTGCAGTGGTCCTTTATACCCAAAAACTTCGGTCATGCATCCTAGAGAGCATCATAGGCAAATGCAGTAACGTCAGTCTTGACGCTGATGACTGAGTACCGTACAAGCATAACTTATCTAACTATGTTTGAAGCATCATAGTGGAAAGATGAAAAATGGTGGGTGGGGAAGAGGGCATGGGGCTAGATCATCACAAGGATTCTGGGGTGCTTCAAAGCCCTACGTCAGGCAACTCGGAAAAACTGATAGCCCGAAGACCACTGACATCGGCGAGATGGACCAAGTGGTTAGAGCGCAAATTCACTGACCGGCAGGTCCGTGGTTCGAACCCGACCTCTGCCACTCGACTTCCCCTGTCTAGGCTTGGATGACCTGGCAGTATCCCAGCCCTCGTGCCTCTTTCCTGTGGCATGGCAGCTAGGCACCGAAAGAGTGCTACAGCTGAACGGTATACTGACGTCGATCAGCTCCCATTCCTTGCACTGTCTCCAGCCAATTACAGAAGGGCTCACGGGGTCCCTATCCTGGAAGCCGGACTGCGTCGACAACACCTTAACCCTTAGTGATCTCTTTCGCATCTTTCTGACACGTCATCATCATCATCATCAATGACAGCAACATCAGTGTTGGCACTGATGCTTCACTGCCGCACAACCATAAAGT